GATAAATAAGGTTAAAGTAAGTTTAAATTTAATCATTTATTTAAATGTTAATATAGAAAAACATTATATTAAAATTATAAAAAACATTTGCACAACATTATTCGTAATATTAAGACACTCCCATTTCAACGTATTGAAACCTTAAAATCAGTGTCAAAGTTTGTTTATAATGACGTCGATTAGAACGTTAAAACCTACATATTTAACAATGTTACATATTACCAAATATCGTTAAAATAACGTTATATCAATGATTTCTTGCTTACTGGGATGTTACTGTGTGTTTACCAGAAATATTAAATAAATAATAAAATATTAATATGGCGCCAATGTTGATATAATAATAAAATAATTATTTAATTTTTATTATAATCAATAATTTATAAATTATTTTAAAAAGTTACTAAAATGTTTCAATATATATTTTTTATTTGTAAGAAGATGCAGAAAAAATCTTGGTACATTATCCGATAAGAATTATTTTATGGTCATCTCGCTAGGAAACCGAAACAAATTATTGTCAGGCAGTATACAGGGTGTTTCATAATGTCCGTGCCAACGCTCGTGTGCGAATAGAGTGCGGTAAACTGAATAGAAAAGTCCTTTACCGTTTTGCAATTTTTGCAATAGTAATTGAGATATTAATTAAAAGGGATTGACGAGTAATTGCGCGTTGCGCGTAGCTAGATCGTGGGCTGTACACACTAAACGTGACAACAACGAGGATCGCATGGCAACGAAAAATAACACGTAGCGAGAGCAGGAGTGATATGCGTTGTTATTTTTCGTTGCCATGCGATTTTCATTGCTGTCACGCCTAGAACGTACAGCCTACGATCTAGCCGCGATCAACGCGCGATTATTCGTCAATTCCTTTTAATTAATATCTCAATTACTATTGCGAAAATTGCAAAACGGTAAAGGACTTTTCTATTCAGTTTACCGCACTCTATCCGTATACGAGCGTTGGCACGGATATTATAAAACACCCTGTATATACATATACAGGAAAAATGTTTTTTCTATAAAAAATACATTATTATAAATTAAAATAAAATAAAAATGTAATAGAATGTAAAAGAATAATTAATTAAGAAGTAAAAATATTTTCTTTTGCTTTATATTCTACGTATAATATGTATTGCATATAACATATACAGTAGCAATGCCAAAAGTATCACAGTATTATATAACATTGCATTGCATAATATTGTATTGTAAAACAAAAAATAAAAGTTTTTTAAATAAAAATTAAATCACATTTTTTTTTTAAACAAACTACATAATAACATTACGTGACTGCTTTTTCAAATTCCTCTCTTTTGTTTGCGAACATTGGCAAATCTAAACCATTCCATGACAGAATGTTCGAAATGTTTTTCAGTTGTGCGAGGATATGCTGCTCTAAAAGTTTCTGAAGAAAGAAAAATGTTATAGATAAAAAGGCAGACAACAGATACATTAATCTTATCGTGTTTTTAATGAGATGCAAGTGATTAAAATTTTAATATTATGTGAAATATCATGTAAAAATAAATCTAATTTTTCAGAAAGTTTATTAAATAATTATGAGAATCCGAATCTGTGATCTGTGAGAGAACATTGCGTTGAACAGACAAGTTTAATTAATATCTCAATAACTACCCAATAAGCAAGAAATCATTGATATAACGTTATTTTAACGATATTTAGTAATATGTAACTTTGTTAAATATGTAGGTTTTAACATTCTAATCGACGTCATTATAAACAAACTTTGACATTGATTTTAAGGTTTCAATAACGTTGAAATGGGAGTGTCTTAATATTACGAATAATGTTGTGCAAATGTTTTTTATAATATTAATATAATGTTTTTCATATAACATTAAATAAATGATTAGATTTAAACTTACTTTTAACCTAATTCATCATTATATCAACATTCAAACAATATTAATATTTTATTATTTATTTTATATTCTTAGTAATACAAAGTAACATAACATCAATGTTATAATTTTCC